TTGCCAGGCCAGTAAACATCTGCTCATCTCTGAAGATTCAACTCAAGCTTTGACTCCTTTGTTCAGGTGTTGTTCAGGTGAAATTGACTGCCTCCTCCTTTGTGTCCTGACCATATCATGAACAGCTGAAGGCACATGACTGCTGCGTGTATTTATTTTTGTGACTTTTCCCCTACTAGATTCCAAATCCCTGAGGGTAGGGATACAGAACATAGTGAGCACTCAGTAACTGAGAGGAAGAAAGGGTAGAATTTTGGTGCTGTTCTACTTAGAATTTTCACAACAAAATATTTTATCTTAAGGATCTGAGGAATCTGAACAGCAGAAATGAATTCTCTCTGTAAGCTGCTTAAAGTCTGATATGCAGCTTAAAGAGCAAGAAAGTATTCCAAAATCAAAACAATACAAACACTTAAACTCTAGAAAGTTAGGCTAGTGTAATCATCCAGTTTTAATAAGATGGAGGTGCATAAACCTAGTGTAGTAAAGTGAAGAGATTAGTCCAGGACCAAGTAGCCACTTGATGCTGGGGTCATTCTTGGGTACACTCTGTTGATTTCTTGATCCTTTGTGCATTAACTTCACTGTACGTATTGGAACGCTCTGTGTGAATCCAACATGGAAAGCGTATTGGGATGATGCCATAGATCAAAATAAACCAAGAAGAAAAGGTTGTGATTTCATTGTGTCACTCACTGCCAGTGGCTCCTGTAAGCAAGGGGATTTTTCATTCTAACTTGATTTTGTTGCCAAATCACATCAGTTAAACAAACTGATGCAGTAACTGCAAAATGATTTGGTCCATTTGGTCACAACAGGGAATTATCCAGTCTTTCTATTCTCACTAAGCTGGCTCCTGTCATCAGTCTGGTCCACAGGCTCCAGGTTAGGAAACATCAACACAGATGACTCACCCCAGGGGCAATCAGAAAATGAATATAATAATTAACATCATCTACAGCCTTGCAAACCCTATGGGGCAATTGAATTATGTCCCATAGTGTCTCTATGAGTTGTAATCAACTGGATGGCAATGGTTTTGTTTTTTGTTCTGTTTTGCTTTGACAAAGATAAAATAGTGTTAGGAGTGGGATGATTTGATATGCCACCACTTCCCTCTCGCTCACTTAATCAAAGGCCCTCTTGAAAACGCAGTAGAGAAGTTATAGATCTAGCGAGTGTCTTCCCCTATTACTACTGACATCAGCATATTAATGAGCTTCATTTCCCATTGAATGCGAATGTGTTATTTGACAAAAGGGCAATACTGATCAGGAAAATTAAATTAAGAAATAACAGATTACATCAACTAACGGAAAATAAGAAAATAAAACCTCATTTTGTACTAATGTCATAGAAATTTTCCTTTTCCTGATGAAGAGTCCTCTTGTTTTAAACATGTGCTATTTCTCAGGAATCTGTTTTGTGAGACAAATGACTGTTTTGTATGGAAATTCTTAGCATCCTTTCTCATTTGTTCCATGGATAATTTTTAATTGGCAGTTAGTTTTTCTCTTTGTGCTTACTGCACAGCAGGAAAAATGAAGTTTTTCATTTGTTTTTGGGAGCTATCTGGAAAGTGTTGCTGTTGCTGTGAGTTGGAATCGACTCCATGGCAGTGGGTTGGGTTTTTCTTGGTTTAAACACACTTGATTTATAAAATTCTTAGAGCAGTTAGCCCCTAGCATGCTGCCCTACATCTTTCTATGTAGCAGCCGAAGGATTCAATCAGGTGCCAACAACTGTCATCAAGTCCATTCTGACTCATGGTGACTCCATGTGGGTGGAGTAGAAATGTGCTCCATAGGCTTTTCACGGCTGGGACACTTCAGAAGCAGATCACCAGGGTTTTCTTCCGAGGTGCCTCTGGTAGTTTTAAGCAACCACCTTTTGGTTAGCACCTAGCACTTTACTATTTGCATCATTCTGGAACTCCTTGAAATCGAGGAACCTGGTGCCATCTTCCAGGGAGCAGAAGAGGGCAGAGCATTGTGGGATATACTTCTGCTGAAAGGTCTTGAGGAATTTTCTTCCTCCAACTCCAACCTATATATGACTATTCTACCATAGCCAGAAAAGAAGCTTGATCTTAAACCATGTTGAGAGGAGAGCCACACAAAAATGTATCTTAACTGTCCACAGTAATGGACAACTGTGTCTTCATGGTGCATTTTCTCAGCCAAGACCGCCAATGAGATAATCAATGGAAGAACTAGGAGGGTAGAGAAAGATGTTCTTCATCCTGTCATGACTGGAAGTCCTTCTGATTGATTGGAAACCCTTCCAGCTTATCTTTTTTCAGAATTCATACACACATTTAACAAATGTGTATTGAGCATTTATGCTGCACCTGACTGTGTGCTAGGTGCTTGGGGTGAACAGACCAGGTAGGGTTCAGCTTCATGGCAGTCATAGTCTAATAAAAGGCCAGCTCACATAAATGAAAGTGGTTCTACATTTCAAGTTTCCATAATGGAAACAGAGAAGAGTGGAGATAAATAACAAGGGGAAAATCTCCTTTCGGGCAGGTATTCAAGAAAGGCCTATCTGAAGAGGTAAGACTTAAGCTGAGAAATTAAAAGAAGACCAAGGAGCTGTGGTGCTTCAATGATTAAAGCTAACCAAAAGTTTGGTGGTTTGAACCCACCAGCTGCTCTGTGGGAGAAATATGAGGTAATCTACTTCCATAAAGATTTACAGCCTTGGAAACCCTATGAGGCAGTTCTACTCTGTCCTATGGGGTTGCTATGAGTTAGAATCAACTCTTTTGTAGTGGCAGTGGATTTAAAGGAAGAACAGTGGCTAGTAATGCACTGGGTGGAGGAGGGAACCTTCAGGATTTAAGAACCACAAAGATATGTTGTTAACCCAACAATAATCTAGATGAGGAGCATAGATAGGGTAGCTCCTTTGACCCCACTGTGTCTAACCTAAGGTTCAACTTGAGTGTGGACAGCAATGTAAAAGACAAGGCCAAAGCTGTCCATGAGTGACCAGGATACAGAATGAAGACAACTTAAAGGGATATGACAACCACTAGAAATCTAAACAGGCTAAGCACCAAGTCCTGGAAACTCAAGTTCCAATCAAGTAGAATCTATCTAGGTGAAGGATGAGGTTGCCTCCAAAATCCAAGAGGTCAGAGTGTAAAGAGGAAGCAACCCCCCTACCACTCCTGGTTGTAGGCAATCTGGGCTCTTCAGTTTACATCTTGATCTGAAAGAGGTCAGCCACCTACAAGTGAATAGATGCCCTTCGTGGAGGCTGAGCAGTAATGCTACCTGTTCCACCTACCTGTTCACTCTACAGGTCTGAGGATGTGGAAAGGGGAGAGTTAGTGGGCTTTTCTAATGGCTCTCAGTGGGCATGTGGCTACAAAACTCTAAGCAATGGAGAGAAGGGATGGCAGTTGTAGGAGGACAGATGGTTGTAGAGGCAAGGACTGGGTCTACTCTCCAGGTCCAACCACTGAGAAGTTACTCAGTTCATTTCTCTAACATAGTCTTTTCAATAGAGAAAGAGTCACCTATTGTACTCTCAGAGTCAAGGAGAAAATTAGTGTTTAGCAGAATTCTGAGAGAGAGAATGGACATGGCTGGCAGAGAGCTCCCCCTGCAGGGGTGCATCCCGGATGCCCCATCACCAGGGTGGGAGGCAAGCCTCCGTGCTTTGAATGAATACAGACTTCCAGAAGGGAGTGGCCAACTACTAAGACAGCTGCTGGACCAACAGGCACACCAAGCCCACTGTCTATAATATTCACAATAAAAAAGAAAAAACGTCACTGCCATTGAGCCTATTCTGACTCCTGGTGATCCCCTTTGGGTTTCCGAGGTAGTAAATATTTATGGAAGTAGATCGCCCAGTATTCCTTCACGGAGTGGCTGGTGGGTTTGAACCACCAACCTTCTGGTTAGCAGTCAAATGCCTTAGGATAACAATCTATCCCAGACATGACTCCTGAAGCTTAGGCTGGTACTGTGTCTTGCCCAAGGGCTCACACTAGTGAGTGACAGGACTGGAATTCTCACCCAGCTCTGTCATACAGCAAAGCTCTCCACTTCCCGGTAGAGATGAAAGTTAAGTGTTCAACTACTAGCTGAAAGGTTGGCATTTGAACCTACCCAGAGGCACCTCAGAAGACAGACCTGGTGATCTGCTTCTGAAAGGTCATAGTGTTGCAAACCCCATGCAGCTGTTTTACTCTGGACACACAAGGTTGCCATGAGTCAGAATCAACTCAGTGGTAACTAACAACAATGGGGGTGGGTAGGTAGGAGGGAAGAGGGAAACTCACTACTAAGGGATACTGAGCTTATGTTAAAGGTGATGGGGAAATTTGGAAATGAATTATGGTAATGACTGAACAACACAACAAACATGGCTAATGCCACTGAATTTTACACACGAAGAATGTTGAAAAGGCAAATGATCTGTTACATTTGTTGTTGTTGTTATGTGCCGTCGAGTCGGCCCCGACTCGTAGCGACCCCTCCTTCGGTTTCTGAGGCAGTATCACTACGGAAGTAGGATTGCCCAACCTTCCTTCTGAGGAGTGGCTGGTGGGTTTGAACCGCCAGCCTTCTGGTTAGCAGTCAAGTGCTTTAGCCACTATGCTACCAGAGCTCCTTCTGTTACATTTAGATTTACCATTTCTCTAACATAGTCACACATTGATATGCCTCCCTCCCTCCCTCTCTTTCTCTCTGTCTCTCTCTCTCTCTGTCTCTCTCTCTCTCCTGCATGATGCATGTGCACACACACACACACACACGTTTTCTGACGCCAGGAGCCTGGTAAAGAAGAACTAACTGGCTCCCTCTGTATTACTCATGAGGACAAGGAGAGTTCACTTGAATAGACAGGGCATTGTGACTTCCATGGTACTTTTTGAAGCCACCACCGCTTCCCTGCCCCACCCATCACCTCCTGTGAATCAGGGCAACAGGGTCTGAATGCCAAGGACTCAAGCATCTTCTCTGCTTTTGTTGTCCATGCAGTGCTCCAGAAACTGCAGTGGGGGCTTCAAGATCCGGGAGATTCAGTGCATGGACAGCCGGGACCACCGAAGCCTGAGGCCATTTCACTGCCAGTTCCTGGCTGGGATTCCTCCCCCACTGAGCATGAGTTGTAACACTGAGCCTTGTGATGAGTGGCAGGTGGAGCCCTGGAGCCAGGTATGAACCCTAGAAAGGGAGAAACACCATCCACACTACCACACAAACATGAATCTCTGTGTCACCACATGGATCTAGAAGTCAGGGGAGACCACTCCTGTCCCATGCCAATGGTTGACCTCCATTCAGTGACCCAAAACTGCATGGGGAAGGCTGAACTGGTTGGAACAACTTCAAGAGCTAAAAGCATTCTGTTGAGAAGACTATACTGTATGGTTTCCATCGTTACAATTCAGTGTTTAATTATAGCATAGCTTCTCAATAAGGGGCCCTAGTGATTCAAAGGTTAAGTACTTGGTAGCTAACTGAAAGGTTGATGGTTTGAACTTAGCCAGTGGCTCCATGGGAGAAAAGACCTGGTGAACTGCTTCTGTAAAGATTACAGCCAAGAAAACACTATGGGACACTACTCTGTTACATGGGGTCCCTATGAGTTAGAATTGACTCAACGGTGCCCAACAACAACAGTTTCCCAATGGATATATTGGGAAATTGGGATCCTTGCTTAAGAAAGCAACAGAGTGGAATGATTTGAACAATGACCACTTTGATGGGAGCCATTTAAGATAGAACCTCACATGCCTCTCCAAGCCTTCCAGTCAGGCTGGTGATGTGGTCAGATCTTTTGTACACAGATTATAATTTTAGAGTTCCACCTCCTAGTTAAATGCCCAGATTATTGTTTGCACAAATACGTAGTGTGAGTGTGTGTGTGTACTTTCTTTTGTAAGGTCCCAGACTCTGCTTTCTCTGTTCTACTTTGTCACCTCTCTCTCTCTCTCTCTCTCTCTCTCTCTCTCTCTGCCATTGAGTCGGATCCGACTCATAGTGACCCCTCTTTGGGTTCCCGAGGTGGTATCACTACGGAGGTAGATTGTCCAACCTTTCTCCTGAGGAGTGGCTGTGGGTTTCACCTAGAAACAATTTATTGTTCTTTGGTGAAGTATGATATCTCATTTTCCAATTAATTATGCTTCTCAATGCCTCATTAGCTAAAATGTTCCCAACTACATCAGCATATGGTAGAAATGAGTCAAAATAACCCAACATATTTTGAGTATGTCCAGGCGCTAGGAACTTTACCTACAATACTTGATGGTAAGTCTTATGAACTTCATTTTATTAGGGAAGAAATTGAGACTCAGAGAGGTTAAGAAACTTACCTGAGATCACACAGTTAGAACATAAATGGTGGAGCCTAAATTCATATATAAGGTGGACTGTAATGCTGGTATTCTTTCCACTATAGAATGCAGCTTGGTGGGCATTGAGGAGAAAGGGTGAGTCATGAACTATTTTTCATGGACACCTAGTACTTACCAGGGAAGGAAAGATAGAGAACCACAACTGAAGTATACAGAGCTAGAGTTGTGTCCTATGGAAGGATGAACCCCCTACAGCCAATTACTTATTGTCCACTGGGTCAAGCATCTCTGTGGACTCTTGAGGCTATGGACCACTACCTGGTAGAGGAGGCCACCACTGCTGCGTGTTTCTCCTCCTCCTGCCTGGCTCTCGAAATACATGAAGTGCCTGCTACTCTCATGTTCTTGCCCCAGGCCTCTGTGCATTCTGTGTATGCTGAGTTGAACTGTACCTGCTCAGATGACAGCTTCTGGAATCCTGGAATTTATAGAGGAGCTCAGATTGCTTTGTCAGAGCAGTGGCATTTGCAGTTATCAAAGATGAGCATTCACATCTGCTTTCTGGTTATGGAAAAGAAGATGCCTACTTTATGCTTCTCTAGCAGCCTCTGGGAGCCCCATTATAGGAGACTTATTCCTAAGGAATGCTGGTGGTATAGTGGATAGGGCATTTGGCTGCTAATCACAGAAGATCAGTGGTTCAAACCCACCAGCTACTCAGAGGAAGGAAAATGGGGCAGTCTACTTCTATAAAGATTTACAGCCTCAGAAACTAAATAGGGGTCAATATCAGTCAGATTTGACTCAATGGCAGTGAGTTTGGTTTAATTTTTATCCCCTGAGGACCTCCACCATGCTTCTTCCTAAATTGTTCTGTACTGATCTTGCAAAAGCTGAGAATTTTGCAGTATTTTCTCCCTGCTCGCATTCACTGGCTGCTAGCAGAAGAAAGAGCTTTCCCAAATCATGAAGTTGGAAGACTTCTTTCTGAGAGAGCAGTGGAAATGGAAAACACAAATCTCCTTTGAGTATTTCCCTAGAACTGGGCAGAACTGGGCATCCTTAGGTCCTCCCCCCAGCTCATGCTACTCCTCTGCCTGTGTATACCACCTGGTGTCCAGTCATCCTCAGAATGTTCTGGGCCTGTTGGGTGAAAGACAGTCAGCCCAGATGACCTACATAGCAGATATATTTCAGCCCTAGGAATGTGTGCTTCTACATCAGATGTTAGCAAGCAACAGAATCATAAGGAGGGATAGTCAACACACTGGGCCCCAACACCAGAGTATCCAATTCAGAGATATGGGGTAGGATCTGCCATTCTACATTTTTGACAAGTACCCAAGTGATGTTGAAGCTGCTGGTCTGGGGACCACACTTTGAGATCCACTGATCTACACTTGTTTTCATCCTTTTTTCTTGGAGGTTACTTGGCTAGGTGGCCCTGTATCTATATGCAGACCTATAGGCATCCCCAAAGATGTAAACTATATGATTCTTTTCCTTCTCAAATAGGATTGAAAATAGATTGGATAAGCCAAATAAAAGACCAGCATATGGGCTGAACATTTACATCAGGTAGATACACTCCTTGAAAAGATCAATCATGGGAGAATAGAAGGGCAGTGTATGCACAGGGAGACCTCTCGGGGCAGGAGTACATGGGAGGGAAGGACACAGGGAAGAAGTAACTGTGAGGAGGAGGTGGGAAGAGAGATGTTGCATTGTGGGAAATTGCAATCAATGTATTAGACAAAATGTGTATGAATTTCTGTATGGAAAATGGAATTTGTCTTTAAACTTTCACCCAAATCACAATAAAAATTTTTAAAAAAGAAAATAGATTGGAGAAATGGAAAAAAAAAAAAGTCCGTATTGACTCTCAAAGTTGGAATATTGGGAAAGCAAGTGATCAGTTCTCTCATTGGACAGACTGTGTCAGTTTAATATAACTCCTCTGTTTCTGTGGTAGCCCCCACACACATTGTACATCACATGATGGGCTTGATGCTGACAACTACAGTTGTTTTGTTGGTAATGCTACCATGCAATAACTCAACTTAATTTTTTATATAAATATTTGATTCTTGGGAAATTATATTATTTCTTTCTAGAAGCTTCTGAAAAGTGAGATAATATCCTGTATAGACTTATTCTAGTAAGCAAAAACCTGACACATTTAAAAATTATATCCCATTCAAGAATCCTACTTGACTCAAATTTATTTTGTAGACATTACAGCCAGTGCATCAGAATGCTGAGAAGATCTATCAATTTCATAGTCACTAGTATGGACAAATTGATTCCTAAAATTTTATGTAGTGGGAAGGAAGACTAAATCCCTTTTTAATAGGAGATGAACAAAATTGTATTGAAATTGTGTTCTCTCTGTTCAGGGTGTCAGAGATAATCATAATAAATAAAAAATTTCCAAATGTTATATTTGGGTTTCTAGACACTTATGTCAGAAGGCAAAACTCAGATGATGTTATGTCCATTCTTGAATGATTACTCATTTACACTTTCAAGCATAACTCCTTCCTTTTGACGTATTGTTTGACATTGAGCTATTTGACAGCTTCTGATTTTTCTCTTCCTCTTATCCTCAAGATTTCCTTTATTGACCTCTCTCCCTCTCTCTCTCTCTTTAGCACTCTTGCTTAAAATTACTAGAGTGATCATTGTAGAAACTTGCAACAATGCTACAGAACCAATATTCCTTATAACATTGCACACAACAAATATGATAGGAAAAGTTCTTCCCTTATCACTAAAATTGTCACTACATGGTTTTCACCTAATTCTGTCCTTGTTCTGTATCAGTGCTCCAGATCCTGTGGAGGTGGAGTTCAGAAAAGGCGAGTGTCTTGTCCAGGAGGCCTCTGTGACTGGACAGAAAGGCCCACATCCACAGCACCCTGTAACAAGCACCCTTGCTGTCACTGGGTCACTGGGAGCTGGAACTTGGTAAGATTTTGCAATAGTCCTTCTCATTTTATGTCTGTCTTTTAAAAAAGAAAATGTTAGGTTTCATCAAGTTGATTTGGACTCAAAGCAACTCAAATTATGGATATCAACTGGCTGCTGTCTCATACTGGGTAAGTGAGAAAGGGTCAAGGAGGCGGCATCTTCTGACCAAGAGGAAGACAGAATCACCATCAGCAGCCCATGGCCTGTTCTTATGAGGCCAGACATGCTGCCACCCTCCAACCCTCTTACTAACCTTGACAACAACCATCCCTCTTGGGGCACCCACCACCTCTCTGCTGGGTTCAATAATTCACTGCAGTGGCCACACAGAACTCACAGATTATGGGGTTTATTAGGGAAGCAACAGGCTACAATACAAGTTCAGGAACATGCTCAGGGTACAGTTCAAACAGGACAGTCTCCCTTCTGCTGTGTCCTTAGAGACGCCTCTCTGGCCCTTGGCCTCTCAGCCTGACCTCTGCCTCTGTGGGCCAGGTAAGCCTGCCACTCTGTCCCATATCTCTTGGTTCCACTGCTGTTTTCTCTCAGCCAGATGTCTCTCTCTCAGCCAGGCATCTCTCTCTCTCTTTCAGCTGGATCTCTCTCTCTCTCTCTTTCTTTCTCTTACCTGGGTGTCTTTCTCTCAGAATTGCATCTCTCTCAGCCAGCAGTCAGAGATATTTTTTTTCTGCCTCTATGTAGGCTCATTTTAAGCTTGGCAGAGTGGCAAAACCAACCAATCCCAACATCAGATTTCTACACACCTGAGAGAGAGAGAGAGAGCAAATTTTCCCAGAAGATTACTTCATGCTGCCCCAGGTGGACGACTTTAACAAGACTATGGTAGAAAAGTCATACCATGTAAGTTACTACACCTCAGTAAAGAAATAGAGTTTTCTTTATTTTGTTGTGGGTTCTAAAGGTAATCACTTCTGAATTATACAAAAAGCAGATTAGATAGACACAGAGCCTTGTACACACATACACACGTGCATGGAAAGACAGATGCCATGTGAGAATCAGCAAGGAAACAATGAATGTCTAGGGCTACCACCAAGGAAAGAATCAACATAGCTGAGACCCTGGTTTGGGCTGTTAGCCTCAAGAATTGTTAGAAAATAAATTTATGTTCTTTGGAACCACCCACTTGTATTTGTGTTACACCAGCACTAGAAACTAAGACCCATGTAAAGTGGAAATATAGTCGACACAGCAGCCTCTTCCCTTCAGAAAGCCCAGCAGCTACCCAGTGCAAAACTTCCAGCTTCTGATCCATACACAGTGTGTGTAGTTGGCACAGAATGAGAGCCAAGGTGCATATGGATCAACTTGACACACAGAACCCACAGTTTCCTGCCAATATTTTATACTGTCCTAGTTATCCATGCTCAATACCATGTGCTAACTCACAGTGCTCCAATACCAGTATGGGACAGTTGTACACATCAGGAGTTTCCCAGTAGACAAGCAGTCATAAATATCTACATTGACCTTAACTCTGTAGCTTCCAAGGAAACCATACTTTAAGGTCATTTCCCCCCATAGGCTAAACCACATCTTTGTTAACCTGAAGTCTAATGTTAACCCTTTATTCACAATAAAGTTCCATCAAGTAGGGTGATTACAGCTTACTTAACCATTTCCCCTTTGTTAGAGTGTCTCCTTGGGAACACAATAACTAGATAACCAATTAATATTTTTCCCAAAATGAAGGGCATGAGTCTCCACAGAAAGGACTAGAAATGCTATAATAGAAAGGCAAAAGGTGAGTGTATTGCCTGTCAGCTATCTTCATTGCACATGCAGGCAGGCTCTGCCTTAAACTTCTAGACAACTGTAAGACTGCTAGGAATGAGGCATATACACCCACTGGCATCAACCATTCCATAGGTGCTATGTTTATCTATGATCAAGCTGGACATATGGGACACTTACACGGTATTGACAAAGTGAAAGCTATCATTATTATTTACAGAAAATAAACAATAAACAGTAACAACAGATTCCCAAAGGGGTTACCCTTTCCCCAAATTACCCATATCCATTCTTTTGTCACTGGGCAGGTGGCACAGTTCAGGTCAGATTCTGAATTCATGGCAGCACTGCTTCCAGCTACCATCATGCTGCTTGAGGGGCCTGCACCACGCCTGAACCTTCTATTCTGCCTCTGGGACTTGGCCGGTAGATCCCTGAGTCTCTCCCACTAGTCCCTTCTAGGCCTCTGCTGTTTGCTCCCACCATGCTACTGACTATGTGGTTCTCTCTCTTACTACCACACTACCTGGGCCCACACTGCCCAAGGACTCTATGCCTTCTGCCATGCTGCCCAGGGAAGGAACTGTTAAGGAGGCATGTTGCATGGGTACATTCAGGCCTCTGCCCTGCACATGCAAGTGTTACAGTTCTTTTAGCTCCACTGGCAAATGCCCAGAGGTACCCAGCTTTACAAGCAAGTCTCCTGTCTGAAGACCCTCAGCTCTCTTTCCATAAGCTGACCAGCCCACTATCTCTCTGTCTTCAGTGTTATAGCTTATTTGTCTTGGTCTAGTAGGTTCTTAGCACAGGGACACTGGATCCAAATCACTTGCTGTACTCTAGTACATACCCTTCATAGTAGTGAGGTCCCCCTGAACCTCTGTGGGACTGGCCCTTTCATAAGTAAACTCCTTTTCAATTTCAAGGATAGTCTTTCCAGCAGGTCCATAACGTGACCAATCTCTTCAGATGACTACAAGTCAGTTAATTCTATTGAGGAGATTTTTAACCATCAATTCATAATCCGTTGTAAGACTGTGGCCCAGCAAATATTTTGTGGGAGATACAAGACCATGACTGGAAAGGCCAGTAAAAACAGTAATTCATTGCACCACACTGTGGTGCAGGGAAGATCTGGTTCTACATCAGTAAAACTAGGAAACCAATTTTATTTTGCATAGTTGTCACAAGGATTGAACTCAAGTCACTTATTATGAATTTAGAGAAATGCCTGCTATATATTAATGATAAGTACAAAAAAATCATTCAATGAAAATATTTCATCAAATGGTTTTTCTTCTTCATCTTTATCTACTTGATTTCTGTTGGTTGAGTGGTAATAATAATGGAGTCCAGATTTAAAGTATCTCTTTCACAGCTTCTCATAGAACAAGTCTTTACTAATCTTCTGTTGGACCCTAGGAATCAATTTTTTTTTTTTCAAATAAATCAGTTTAAACTGAAGAAAGCCCTTGCATTCTTACTGGACAGACATCAAGGATGGAGTGAGACTAGTGCAGAACTAAGCTTAGGCTCTGAACAATTCAGTTGTTGTTGTTGTTGTTATGTGCTGTCGAGTCAAACCCAACTCATAGCAACCCTTCCTTGGGTTTCCGAGGCAGTATCACTAAGGAAGTAGATTGCCCAACCTTCCTTCCAAGGAGTGGCTGGTGGGTTTGAACCGCCAGCCGTCTGGTTAGCAGGCAAGTGTCTTAGCCACTATGCTACCAGAGCTCCCAACAATTCAGTTAGACAGTAGCTTTAGCTGGGAGACAATAAGGTTAGCCCCATGCCCACTTTGGTTGTTCAATTTGGCAACAAAAATCCTGTTTAATTGAATCCAAAGGAGTGGATATGAGCCCCAAGAGAGGTATTGTTGTTGCTAAACTGGAAGCTCTAGTGGTGTAGTGCCTAAGGCATTTGACTGCTAACCAGAAGGCTGGTGGTTCAAACCCACCAGCACTCTTCGGAAGGAAGATTGGGCAATCTACTTCTGTAGTGATATCGCTTTAAAAACTCAAGGAGGTGTCAGCCCCTGACTTATGTGACCGTGTGCACAACTGCTGCTCAGTCCATTCTAATGATTGGTTATGATCAGACGGTTGCAATTCACAGGGTCTTCATTTGCTGATTTTCAAAAGGAGATCACAAGGCCTTTCTTCCTAGTCAATCTTTGTCTAGAAGCTCCCCTGGAATCTGTTCAACATCAGAGAAATAAGCCTCCAATGATAGGCAGGAGATGACTGCATAGGAGGTGCACTGGCTGGGAATCTAACCCAGGTGTCCCACATGGAAGCTGAGAGTTCTATCACTGAACCACCACTGCCCCATATTTCCCTCTATATGACCCAACATTGCTTGCTATAAGTGAAGATCAAAGACTACAGTGTTCAGTATGAATTATACCTCAACATAAAGAAAACAAAAATAATCACAACTTAACCAATAAGCAAAAGCACAATGAATGGGAGAAGATTGAAGTTGTCAGGGATTTCATTTTACTTGGGTCCACAATAGAAGCATCAGTCAAGAAACTGATGACAGATTACACTGGGTAAATCTGCTGCAAAAGACCTCTTTATAGTGTTAAAGAGCAAAGATATCACTTTGAAGACTAAGGTGCACCTAACCCAAGCCATGGTATTTTCAATTGCCTCATATGCATGTGAAAGCTAGACAGTGAATATGTAAAACTGAAGAATTGACAGCTTTTGAATTGCGGTGTTGGTGAAGAATACTGAAAATACAGTGGACTGCCAGAAGAATGAACAATGGAAGAGAAACATGTTTCTGTTGTTAGTTGCCATAGAGTTGGCTATGATGCATGGCAACATTGTATATAACAGAAGAACACGTTCCAGAAGAATGTCTTGGAAGAAGTGTAGCAGAAATTATCCTTAGAAGTGAGCACGACCAGACTTTGTTTCAGGTATTCATGTTGTCCGGAAGGGACCATTCCCAGAAGGCTATCATGCTTGGTAAATTAGAGGGTCAGCAGAAAAGGGGAAGACCCTCAACAAGACGGATTGGCACAGTGGCTGCCATGATGGCGTCAAGCTTAGCAAGGATTATGAGGATGGTGCAGGACCGGACAGTGTTTTTGTTCTGTTGTATGTTGGGTCGCTGTGAGTTGGAGCTAACTCAATGGTGCCTAACAACAATAACACCTTCTCTCTAAACCCTAAACTCTCAGCATTACCACACTTAACAAACTCAAATTAGCAAACGTGCTTCCTCCTTAATTTTCCAATTAAATACAACACTATGCAGCTTCTCAATCAGAAGTCACTTTAATTGACTAAGAAATACATAAACAGTGACCTGTTTGTTTTCATGCCTGTCTTGGAATTAGCTCTTGCATCTAAATGTGCCCGGCTTCAGGGCACTTTCATGACTTCAGCACCCTGGACTAGCTTAGCCTTGTTCCACCAGGATGTCAAAACCAGACCTTTAGAAGCAGACAGCAGGAAAGGAAGTCATTTGGTCTTCATTTTAGCAACTTTATTTAACAGAAGAAGAAACAGAGACGTTAAGTGGATGATCCAGGACCATCTGTGAGCAGAATCACCTGAACTGTCCTCCATGTTTATTAACATATTCTGGCTTGATCTTGCCTCTGTCCTTTCTGTTGCAGATTGGTTGTTACTCAAGGTCAATTGAGCAGTTATTTCTTACTATTTTTTTTCTTATCTCCATCCATGGAGAATGTGAGGTAAATTCACTGAATAAAATTACCTTCAGGCTTAATCTCAGAAATCTATAACTTTATAAATAAACGTGATGCCCTAGGCTACTTGCCATGATAAAAGTTTTATGAAGAGTAGAAAAAAATAAAGCAGTAGAAGGTAAGAAATATTTGATGATGCTTCTCTTAATCTTCTGTATTAGAGGTCTGTCTTCTTAGTCAGAGTTCGGGTTCTCTAGAGAAACAGAACAAGTGATAGGTATATATATGTATAGATGTAAAGATAGAGGTATATTACATGTGTGTGTGTGCATGTATATAAAACAATGTATATATGTTTTATATATATATTGTTGTTGTTAGGTGTCATCGAGTAGGTTCTGCCTCATATCAATCCTCTACAACAGAACAAAACAAAACCCGGTCTTCAAAATCCTCACAATTGCTACGTTTGAGCCCATTGTTGCAGCCACTGTGTCAACACATCTCATTGAAAGGCTTCCTCTTTATTGCTAACCCTCTTCTTTACCAAGCATGGTGTGCTTCTCCAGGGACTAGTCCCTCCTTTTAACATGTCCAGAGTACATGGGAATGAAGTCCCAGCATCCTCACTTCTAAGGAGCATTCCACCCATACTTCTTCCAAGACAGATTTGTTCATTGTTCTGGCAGCCAACAGTCTATTCAATACTCTTAGCTTATATGATAATACAAACTCATCAGCTCTTCTTCAGTCTTCCTTATTCATTGTCTAACTTTCATATGCATATGAAGCAATTGAAAATACTGTCTTAGGTCAGGCACATTTGCAGCAGATTTACCCAATGCAATAGATCATTTGATTTCTTGACTGCTGCTTCCATGGATGTTGATTATGGCTTCAACACTTTCTCTGTTTATCATGTTGTTGCTTATTGGTCCAGTTGTGAAGACTTTTTCTTTTTTAAGTTGAGGTGTAATCCACAATGAAGGTTATGTAGTCTTTGATCGTCATATGTAAGTGCTTCAAGTCCTCTTCACTTTTAGCAAGAAAGGTTGTGTCATTTGTGTATTGCAGATTGTTAGTTTTCCTCCAATCCTGATGCTGCATTCTTCTTCATATAGTCCAGCTTCTCTGATTATTTGCTCAGTATACAGATTGAAAAAGTATGGTGAAAGATACAACCCTGATGCATACGCACAACTTTCCTGATTTTAAACCATGCAGTATCCCTTTGTTCTATTTAAATGACTGTTTCTTGGTCTAAGTATAGGTTCCATATGAGCACAATTAAGTGCTCTGGAATTCCCATTATTCACAATAAGGTCATATATATATATATATATATATAGAGAGAGAGAGAGAGAGAGAGAGATACATATACATATGGTCTGAGACAGTACTGGAAGATGAGCCCCATAGGTTGATAAGATGATGAAGGTGGCACAGGACCACGTAACGTGTTGTTCTGTTATATATAATGTTGCCATGCATCATAGCCAACTCTATGGCAACTAACAACAGAAACATGTTTCTCTCTATTTCAAGGGATTATTTCACAATTGTAGGGAGCTGGCAAGTCCCAAATCTACTGGTCAAGCGACAGGCTGGAAACTTCTGCAGGCTGTGTCCCAAAACTCTTACTTCAGGCAATAATTTGAGTGAAGGGAGGAAGAGTGTTCTAGCAAAAATATCTATTGATACTCTGGAGTCAGAACATGCCCTAGGAAAACTCTCTTTTTGCTCTTAGGACCTTCAAATGACTGATTGATGCTTGCCCCCATTATGGAAGGTAATCTGTTTTACTTGAGACCAACTGCTTTAATCACATGTAATTATAGCAGCAACTAGATTTGTGTTTTACCAAACACCATAGCTTAGCCAAGTTGATAAGTAAAATTAATCATCACAAGGTGTCTGGTGGAAACAAAGTGTGGTACGAATTTATCAGTGGTATCCCAGTGTGCATGTTCTCTTCTTTAGTAGGCTGAATGGGTGTCCAATAATATTTCAAATGACATGCAATTTAGGTTGGGCAATCTACTTCTGTAGTGATACTGCCTCGGAAACCCAAGGAGGGGTCACTATGAGTCTGGTCTGACTCGACGGCACATAACAACAACAACAACAGTGATTTTTCAGACATTGATATGCTGCAATCTTTTTCAGGCAATCCATCAGTGAATATTTACTGAATGTTAGGCTGTGTCTAGCCTTCTTCTAATTGCTATGAAGGACAAATAAAGAGGAACTGGTTTCTGCCCCCTGGGAGGTTTTTACCATATAAGAAATAGAAGGGTAAAAGTAATAAAACAAGAAATAAAATGTAAAGCATAAGAATATTATGTGGTATGCCAGCCACTCGGGAAGGGATCAAAACTGGAGATCTTGGATAAAGTAGGAGGAAAAACATGGAACAAAACTCAAAAACACAATAATGACTAGAATTACTGGTCGGATGAACTCTGGTGGGACCTCCAAGACTCTGGCCCTAGGATACACTTTGTGCCTGAGATAAAACTCACTCCCAAGGGCTGGCTCTCAGCCCAACAGTAAGACTTAAATGTGGAACATCCAACCCAAGGTGATGCACCTACTTACTCTACGTAGATCACCCCTTGGAGCAATCAGCTATGGGACACCAGAGGGGCAACATTCACACAAAGGAAAAGCTGGACAGACAGGAGTGCATAACTAAGAAGGACACAGGGATGGGGGGCTGGTCACTGGGAAAGGAGAGGAAGAGAGTGGGTTAGGGCTGGGGATGGTAATTAGAGAGTGAATCCAAATGTACACAAACTATTGAATGTAAAACAAATTCTGCTCTGTAAATTTGCATCCAAATCACAATTAAAAAGATAAAAAGCCCAGCTGGAAATACACAAAATGTTAATACTGCTTGTCAGTGAGTGGTAGAAGTATGTGTAATATTTTTTAACTATTTCTCTATTTCTCAAATTTTATAGAATGAGTATGTTATTATTAGGTGCTCTGGTAGCATAATGCCTAAGGCACTTGACTGCTAACCAGAAGGCTGGCGGTTTAAACCCACCGGCCATTCCTCAGAAGAAAGATGGGGCAATCTACTTCCATAGTGATACTGCCTCGGAAACCCAAGGATTGGTCGCTATGAGTCAGCTCTGACTCGATGGCACATAACAACAACAACATGTTATTGTTACAAAAAGAAATAATTTTTTGATCACTTTATATATATATATGTGTGTGTGTGTGTGTATATATATATATATATAATATATATATGATAAATTGAGACACATTTTCTAACATCCTCAGGGATTGTTTTATATATGTTTATGCAACAAGCCAGAGCATGTCCATCCTGCTGCCAGATGGCCATAAAAACCAAACCCACTACTGTCGAGTCAGACCCGAATCATAGCAACCCCTCCTTGGGTTTCTCCATCCTTCTGAGGAGTGGTGCCATATAATGACATTAAAGTGGAACTTTATCAATTAGGGGGTCCTTAGACCACGGGTGGTGTAGCTATGGCCAGACTCCTGTTTGACTTTTTCTCCAGTCTCCACACCCAGCCCTGTCCTTACCTCCATTCCAAACTCTCTCTCCTTTCCACTGTAGTCTTCCTCTCCCACTTCTCTTTTGACCATAATCTCACTTCACTAGAAGCTCCATCTCCTCATACCTGATGCCTCATCTCAAATCAAAACTAGTTGATAGAAATAGGTTATTGAGACATGAAGGCCCAGATGGAAAATTTTCTTGTTTTGTTTGCAATTCAACCTCTACCCATATGTGTCACTCCATATATTCATTTTGGTCATATGGGTGTTTGGGTTGGGAGTTTGAGCCACTATGGACCCTGGAAGCACTCCTTCTCTCACTCTGGTTCTTATCTAAGCATATGCTTCATTCCTCTCACACTCTCTGTCATCTGGTTTTCTCTGTTCTTCCAGCCAACTTGGCAGGATGTACACCCAAGTTTTGTATTTCAGCCTCAGATGGAATCTCTTACTAGGTGTCAATTCTAAATTCCTAAGGAAGTAATTGGCCCATCTTGATTCAGAGACCTTCCCCTGGACCATAGGGGCAGGTCTTCACTGTACTAACATAGGTGCCTGAATGGTATGGCCATGAGGAAGAGAGGAAGGTGAAGGGAAGAGGCCATTCTCAAATATTGGAAAGAAAGGCACATTCTTTAGAGAATATGATAATAAAGCCAAATTCAAACTATAGTCATGTAACATGGGACTCTTTTTAAATTCACATTTCCAAATTATTAGTGCCCTTATTCTATTTATTGACTCTTTCAAGGAGGTTTCTGTAACTGGGTCTTTCCCATAATTGGCCACAGTTTGATTAGAGGTGTTGTGTTGTGTCCCTTGGTGACCCAGAAAAGAATTCTGATTCTCATCCCTCTTTCTTTCAGTGCACTGCTTCCTGTGGAGGTGGCCTTCAGAAAAGGACTGTCCGTTGTGTCTCAGAGGACAATAAAACTGAAGACCAACACTGGTGTCTGTGTGACCATGAACCCAAACCTCCCGAATTCCAAAAATGTAACCAGCAAGCCTGCAGGAGGAGTCCCGGTGGGTGAAGGGGGTGGGGAGGGGGAGCTTTTCATGAGTAAGTCTTTCCACGTGACTCAAGTTGTGGATAGTTTTATGTCATCTTTACTGAGCAGAGAATTTTAGTGCTGAAGAAGCTAGCCAGTTCCCCTGGGAACAAGTTGTCCTATATGCCTTTGCCACTGGACTCTAATTTCTTAAGGGATAATCTCACCCACTTTCCCATCTCAAAGCACATTCATATTGATGTCATCCACATAAATGAGAATCACTTCTATTTCTTCAAATATTTCTGAGAGACTCTATAGCCTTTCTTAGGAACTCAGTCAAGTATGGAATGGTCCTGTCTATCAATCTAAGTTCATTTGCTCTGGTTCTGCCCTCAGTGAATACAAAAAAAGTAGAATCCATTCCAGTTTATTCCCAGTGCAATGAGAAATATTAACTTGCTTCTAGAATCTTAAGGACACTTTCAACTTGTAAGTTGTGTCCTTCAGATTTTAGCAAAAGTTCTTTATTATTTAATTTTTGAAGTATAACCTATTGTCAAATTGCTTTAGGCATAAAATTACCACACTAATAAAAAATTAAGAAGCCGTGGTGGAGCCAGGGTTAAGTGCTTGACTGAGAACCAAAAGGCTGTCAGCTTGAACCCACACAGGGGCTCCAAAGGAGAAAAATCTGGTGATCTGCTCTCGTAAAGATTAAAAAAGCAAACAAACAAACAAACAAACAAACAAACTCACTGCTATCGAGTTGATTCTTACTCATAGCGACCCCTATTTGGGTTTCCAAGGCAGCATCTCTACAGAAGTAGATTGCCCAGTCTTCCTTCTGAGGAGTAGGTTGGGGGAGGATTTGAACCACCAGTCTTCTCTTTAGCAGTCAGATGCCTTAGGTACTATGCCATCAGAGCTCCCCATGGACTGCAAAACCCTTTTCTAAATACCTCGGTTAAAAGAGGAGTCCCTCGGTGGCAGAAGTGTGTGCTCAGTGACTAACCTAAAAGCTGGAGGTTTGACCTCACTCAGTGGCACAGCAGATGAAAGGCCAGATGACCTGCTGCCATAGAACTACAGCCAAGAGAACCCTGTGGAGCACAGTCCCACTCCATAAGACGTGGCATTGCAGTCACAATCTACTCAACAGCAACTGGTTTGGTTTGGGTTTTGTGTTAAAAGAAACATCAAGTGAATTTATTCGTTAATATTTACTTATTGCTGGCTATGTTTTAGACTTCCATTCATACTGACTTAAAAAAAAAAAAAAAAAAAAAAAAAAAAAAACCTTATGCACACCATTCCTAGTGTTGTTTTCTTAATTTATTTGGTGAGAGGTAGACAAAGCAAGAAAAAATAGGGAAAGTAATAGGGACAGCACCTAGACCCGCTGTTGATTCAAATGAGCACTGGAATCAGTAGATTTGTGGCTGGAGAATATTTCTTACAGATTTCATTTATTCACTTATTCAACAAACAAAATTGATCACAAGCTGTCCCAGGCATGTGCTAAAAAATAAATGAGGAGACAGAAATGAGTAAGCCAAAATCCCTGGTCTCAAAGGACTTGGAAAGGCCTCAAAGTCTTACAGACTGTTATTTGTCAACAACACTGAAATTGTTTTTCAGCGTTATATTGTGGGCAAAATATTATCCCTCAACCTAGACACAGCCCACAGCAAGGGACCAGGCTTATAACTGTCCCTTTAAATATCCAAGAATGGTTACTATCGAACAAGTAGAGGCAAGTCAGGATCTCCTCCCCAAGTTGGCCCCTAATTATGGACATTGTATGTACTTTAGGGCTGGAATCCAGTTGGCTGATGAACACAATAAGCCTTCATTGTTTTAAAATAATAAAGAGAACTGTTGCAATTAAGCCCTGCCATGATGTTGGGCTCATAGCCATTATCTAAATGAACTGCTAAACATAGGCCTGGAATATCCACTCCCAGTATAAGCCACCACTGTGCTCCACTCTTCCTTCCACTCCCCCACTCTCAAACAATAAGGACCCCAGCACTCAGCATGTTTCCAGAGCTCTCAGGACCACTGAAAATCCGTTTAGGGAAACTCATTGTTCTAAAGATTGGGCAAGGAACCCTGGCTCAACCTTAGGTTGACCTTTCCAGTCTTTAGTTGTTAACCTAACCTCACAAGGAGGGGCTTCTGTACTGAACAGGTTAAATATTCTGGGCAAGAAGGACTTTCTGTGTGAGCCTCTCATCCCCCGTCACCAGAACAACAGGATCTTTCTCTTGGTAGTAGAGTATCAGAAGCCCAGAGACAGGATTTATGTACCAGCTCTGTGATGTTGGGCCAGCTCCTAAGCATCTCTGGAGCCCTCAATTTGTTTTCTTTTGATCTTTAAAGGAGAAGAATAGAAGGCCCTACAAGTAAATTTCCATGAGGATCAAATGAAATAATACATGTCAAGCACATTGCCTGTTGTTAGGTGTTGTCGAGTCTGCTTTGACTCCTAGTGACCCTGTGTAGAACAGAAAGAAACACTGCCTGGTCCTGTGCCATCCTCACAATCCTTGCTATACTTGAGCCTATTGTTGCTGCCACTGTGTCAGTCCATCTCATTGAGGGCCTTCCTGTTTGTCACTGACCCTCCACATTACCAAACATGATATCCTTCTCCAGGGACTGGTCCCTTCTGACAACACGACCAAAGCAAGTGAGACAAAGTCTGCCCATTCTTGCTTCTAAGAAGCATTCCAGCTGTGCTTCCTCCAGGACAGATTTGTTAGTTCTTCTGGCAGTCCATGGTACTTTCAGTATTCTTCACCAACACCACAACTCAAAACATCAGCTCTTCGGTCTTCCATATACATTGTCCAGCATTCACATGCATGTGAGGTTGCATAGTATTCCAATGTGTATATGGCTTGGGTTAGTCTTCAAAGTGACATCTTTGCTCTTCAGCACTTTAAAGAGGTCTTTTGCAGCAGATTTGCCCAGTGCAATGTGACATCTGATTTATTGACTGCTGCTTCTGTGGGTATTGAGTGTGGATCCAAGTAAGATGAAATCTTTGACAATTCCAATCTTTTCTCCATTTATCATGATGCTGCTTCTTGGTCCAGTCATGAGGATTTTCATTCTCTTTATGTTGAGGTGCAATCCATATTGAAGACTGTAGTCTATTATCTTCGTCAGTAAATGCTTCAAGTCATCTTCACTTTCAGCAAGAAAGATTGTATTGTCTGCATATCGCAAGTTGTTAATGAGTCTTCCACAAGTCTTGATGCCACTTTCTTCTTCATATAGTCCAGTTTCTTGGATTATTTGCTCAGCATACAGATTGAATAAGAATGGTGAAAGGATATGACCCTGATGTACACCTTTCGTGATTTTAAATGATATAGTATCCCCTCATTCTCTTTGAACCACAGCCTCCTGGTCTATGTACAGGTTACTCATGAGCACAATTAACTACACTGGAATTCCCATGCTTTGCGATGGCATCCATAATTTCTTGTGATCAACACAGTCAAATGCTTTTGCATAGTCAAAAGAACACAAAGAAACATCTTTCTGCTATTCTTTGCTTTCAACCAAGAGCCATCTGACATCAGCAATAATATCCCTCATTCCTCGTCCTCTTCTGAATCCAGCTTACATTGCTGGAAGTTTCCTGTCAATGTACTACTGCAACCATTTTTGAATTATCTTCAATAAGATTTTACTTGCATATGATATTAATGATATCGTTTGATAATTTCCACATTCTGTGGGATTACCTTTCTTTGGAATGGTACAAATATGAATCTCTTCCAGTCAGTTGCCCAGGCAGCTGTCTTTCAAATTACTTGCAATAGACAAGTTAAGTGCCTCCAGTGCATCCATTTGTTGAAACATCTCGATGGGTATTCTGTCAAATCCTGGAGCCTTGTTTTTCACCAATTCCTTCAGTGCAGTTTTGACTTCTTCCTTCAATACTATTGGTTCTAAATCATATGCCCTCTCATGAAATAGTTGAACATCAACCTATTCTTTTTTGTACAGTGACTCTGTACATTCCCTCCATATATATATATATACATTTTTAATTTTTATTGTGATTTGGGTGAAAGTTTACAAAGCAAATTCAATTTCCATATAGAAGCTCACATACACTTTGTCTCATGACATTGACTATAATTTACCACAATGTAACAGCTCCCCTCCCACTTCCTCCCCATACTTACCTCTTCCCTGTGTCCTTCCTTCCCATGTACTCCTGCCCCTGAGCTGTCTCCCTGTGCATACACACCCTTCTATTCTCATATAATTCATCTCTCCAGTGATTGTATCTACCTAATATAAATGGTCACCTCATATGCCTGTCTTTTGTTTGGCTGGGAGCCACAGGAGTGGGTTCAATTCCAGACCTGAAGGGCAACTAGGGGCCATAGTCTCAATGGTTCCATCAGGCTCTATCAGACCAGAAAACCTTGTCTTTTTTTTTTTTTTTTTTTTCAATGATTTTGAGTTTTGTTCCACATTGTTCTCCCATCCTATCCAGGCTCTCCTACATAGATCCCCCTCCGAGTTGTTGACAGTGGTAGCTGGGCACCATCTAGTTCTGGTCTCATAGTTGTATATGCTGAGGATCACATGGTGTACCAGTCCCTTGGACTAATTATTTCGATGCACTTCTGGTTTTCTTCATTCTTCTTTGCTCTGGATGAGGAGAGACCCATCATTGCCCATCTAGATGGCCACTTGCAAGCTTTTAAGATCTCAGTTCTACTTGCCAAAGTAGAATGTGGAACAGTGTTTTTGTGTAGTATGTTATGCCAATTGAGCTTGATATCCCCTGTAACTATGGTCCCAAGCCCGCAGGTCAACTACTTACTCCTTCTGGGTAGCTGGCTGTGGCCAAGAAGTGACTACAATCTTGCCCCCTGTCAGCTCTGCTATATACCTGGGAATTTTTACAGAACATACAAATAAACTTGTAGAAATATTTTCTGCCAACCCTATACATGGTCTTGGGTACACTCCCCCCTGCACAGACATACCTAATAGTTC